ATCAGTACGAGAAGACCAACTTGTAGATGTCCTACTCACAAAAGACATCGCAGGAGCAGGATCACGACCAGTAAACACAGCAGTAAGGTTGGGAACACCAATAATCTGAGTGTGTTCATGACCCGTTCTTCCCAAACCTGCATTTCTGGTTGCTATATGAACTTGTACTGTGCTCCTTTACCACGGTATGATTCCCAGGCTGGTTTAATGAGACAACTGCAGATAATGGATTCAAATTTCCATAGAAAATGACAACAGACATCCTCATGCATTCCTTTGAGATGATATTCTTGTGATTGATAATGATGTTTGCCAGAGAACTAATACAAACATGAAAGGATATGAGTTGTTCAGGAATAAAAGAGAAAAAAAAGGAAATGGTGAGTGAAAACATCTATCACAACCTAGAAAGAGAAAGCAAGAGGTTAGCTTATCTGTTGCAGCAATTGCCATTGTGGGGTGATTAAAACACATAAAACATTGCCTTAAATCATAATGTAATGTAAGCAAGTTAAAATTGCAGATTCCTGGTTCACAAAATCAATTGCTTTCCTGCAAGTCACTGATACAGAGATTTGTTGGAATGCCGCCCGCTTACGCAAAAAGGCAGGTTGATTCTGAAAATAATAAACAAACATAAATTACAAAATATATAAATATAAATAAATACAATCATAAATAAATTCTCATTACTGCAGGAGCTCACGGCCATAATCATCATTAGGGACTATTTTTGAAGAAGCTATATTCTAGTTGCATACTCTGGTATAAAAAAAACAGACACATAATGCACCCAAATTACATCAATGTGACCGTAATTCAGTACATTGAAGCACTGTGGTAAGAATTAGGGCTTTTTTTCTGTTTCTCTCCCTGCCCCTTCCAAGCAATGCTGCCATGCACTCATATTCTTCCTGCCTTCTGACCCTTTGCTGCTCCTGGACATGATCTCATATCAGCTGATCTGCATAGCATCTGCACAGCATCTGCACAGCATGAGCGAATTTTCTGATTTTTCAAGGAAAAACAGCTTCCCTGTAGAGGCCCAGATAATTACAAAGAAGGCTAGATTTGGTCAACTCTGTAAAAGTAAGTTTAAAACTGAGTTGAGCCATGCCTGCCTTTTCACTTCAACTTTTAACAGATTGTTGAAATGCAAGCTCAGGTGCTTCCAGGTTTTAGAGGAAACTTGACTATAGTTAGCTGCGTATGTAATCATAAGGATATTAATTCTAGCATGCTTTCACAATAACAGAATGACCTTTATTTTTGGCAGGACCAAAGCATCTCAATATTCTCTAACAAAGATAAATGATATTTCACCATGACCTGTTGGGTGCCTTTGGTGGATGAAGAAGGAATGGGACAGCAATATCCTGTGTATTTGCACTACATATTAGGTAAACAACGCCACTATTCCTCATCTTGACTGAAAGGTCCAGGACTCGCTACCTCTAAATATCAAACAGGTTCGTTTTTGCTCACACCAGCAAAACGCATGAACGCACTCAAAGTAAATTCAGAGATTTTGATACGAACTGCCAAAATGGGCACATTCAAATAGGCACATTTCATCTCAAATTCTGCTTCAAGAGGGAAATTTGAGCAAGATGATTTGCAGCTTCTCATGCTGTGAAACTCTGCCAGCTTGTAACATCACATAGCGTGGTCACTTACAGGACATGAAGCAACCAACTTTTGTGACACTAATCTTGGAACAACTCAAAAAAGATCAAAAGAATGGGGAGCCAACATCTAGAACAAAAAACAAATCATGCATTCAGACATTTAGATTTACACATAGGATTAGGTATCCCCCCAAATCGAGGCACTTGATCCCAGATCTTCAGTTGCTGTCCAAAATTCTGGCTACCAACAACTCGTACCTTGTGTCACAAGAATGGCACAATTGTCACAGAAGAGCAAAAGCTATGAAACAAGCTTACTGAAATGACACCTTTTTAATGTTTTTATTCATAACAGTATTACATGGTGTGTTACAGAAATTAATGGAAAGTTTTCTAAAAATTTGTTGGTGTTTTTGCTGTTGAATGCATTATACATAAAGTTAAAAATAATGTGTCCGTATATGTTAACAAATGGTCATTATCTGAGGTAAAGTTAAAGCAGGTTTAGAAATGTACTGCAACAGTCATTTTATCTTTTTCATCTTTATTAAAAAAATACGTGTCAGAATGCAGAAATAAAAATGAATGAAAACCACGGAGTAAACATTTTTGCAAAGAAGGTGCCCAGTAAGTGATTAGATGAAAGGTTTCATCAGACACTTGGATGACTACGATCTATCAAAATATCTTTTCATGACAGGTAAAGATCAAGAATCTACGGGGGATGATAAGAGGATGGTTGGTGGGATTCCCTGGTTTTTAAATTTAAAGTGACGAATTTAGTGCTAGTGAGAGATGAGGGATTAAACAATTGCACAAGCTGGATATTTAAATTATCTACAATACTGGTACAGTGGCAGAGGCCTTACATTCCTCTCAAATCAGCATCTCAACCATGACACGGACTATATAATCGCAGGACAAGAAAATTTGGAATTCATTTTTATTTTTGAACATTGGTAAGAAAACGGTCCTTCGTGAAACACTCTAAAATCCCAGGCTCATTCCCTCTGCACCTATTCGCTGAAAGGATGACAAAAATGATCTGCATCCTACAAATATGATGACAATGGATCCTCTGAGACATAACCCTCTTTCTCGTTCAACGTTTTACCCCATAACTGGAAATGCACAGACTACTCTACACCTCGAATGCTCATGATGAATCCAAAATTCTTTCGTGGTTCTATATTGCAAGGACAAAACCCAGAAGAGTCACACTGAGGAAAAAAGTGCGACTTAGGAACATCCTCCTACAGAAACGTCCTTCAGAAATGGTTGTACCTCTGCTTTTAATCCCAAAACGCTCAATCCGCCAGCTTCTAATTCGTCTGATAGAAAACTCATCTCCCTTCTGCTGGGAATCTAAGATTTGCTACCAAAGTGTTTGCACATGACTGAGGGATAAGCATCAAATGACCGTGGATGGGGATAAAAGTTCTCTTCTTTGCAGGTTCATTAGGTCTATTCACAGCTAATGTTTCATTCACATACATTCTGCAACGCACATTTCTCTAATTTCTCTAGTTCAAAATAAAAGACTGGAATCGTGTTGTGAGATTTGGTCGCACATATTAACAATCACCACCCCAGCTGTTCTGTCTTCTAAACCGTTTTTAGCTTATAATAGAGATGAAAGAAAGGAAAACATTTATAACTCCAGGCCTATTTTAATCATGACAAAAATGTAAATTCTAATGCGTCAATTTAAAAACAAAATCTGCACAATAACCCTAAAAACCGATTAATCATTTGATTTCTTTAACCTTTTTTCTTTTTCTATTTTTTCTTTTTTTTCTATTTTTTTCTTTTTTTTTCTTTTTAGTGTTAAACCACTAAATTCAATATACTGTAACTGCATAGGAACATCAGGAAAACACATTTGACCTGTATAACAATTCTCTGTAGGGCAAAAATATATAGTTTCTTTATGAAAATCATGTGCTAAACATATGAACCCAAACACTGCACTTTTGTTTCATAAATGTAAAAAAAGGAAGTTCTAAATTCTTCTGTTCTGCGTGTAAACAGTTTGATGATGACTTCTAGGCAAAGGTTCTGCAATCAGAAGGAAATGGCAATGGAAAGTGATTTCTTTTAGGTGGAGCATGTTTCTGTGGAAAAGCTAGACCATAAAATCATGTGTTCCCATTAATTTCACTAGGCGCTGGCAAGCTGGCTGCTTTTGGCAAATGCACTTGAGCTTCAGCCCATCACCGTAAGCACGTGAAAAACCCTTGTGTGATATGAGAACCACCAGTGGGGCTGGCCCCCTCGCAAGCACTGCAGTCTGCTACCTTCTCTACTGTGTAATGGCATCATTAAAAGAATTTTCATAACATTTATATTTACAAAAAGACTGGCAATTTTTCATTCGAACTCCTTAAAGCCATTTCCCCTTAAACATTTAAAGAGTTTAACAGTAAGATTCTTTTTTTTTTTTCAAGTTATAAAATAAAAATCCCATTTGAATTTTCTGATGTACAAAAAGTGATAAAGATGAACAATTTGATCATGGAATCAGTTTGTTATTCCAAAATTCATGCCATCCGCTGTCCCATTTGTACGGTCCGTTTCATCCAAATTCATGAACCATAATTGTACCAGTATTATTTGGCAAATGACTTCTTTTTTCATCAAAAATGGCACACAGAGAAGAAAACACTTGTCTGCATAGCATCACAGCAGCAAGATATCGAAGAAATAAAAATATTCCTTTTCTGTACTTCGTTTAGCGTTTCCTAGGAAATAAAGACTCTTTTGTCTTGTTCATCAGCGGGCCTTGACGTCCTTTCTCTCCCCACGACGTGAGGACTCAAACCAAAAAGCAGCATTTCTTCCTCATGATGCGCTGTAACTTAAAGGTCCATTTGGCAACGTTTTTCAGTCAGGATGGATAAACAATGGAGTTTTATTCTGTGGTTTCAAGTTAAGAACCATTTCCACAGGAGGCATCTTGCTGTTAGAGCTGTCACTCATACAAAACTACAGAATAAGAAATACAAAAAAAAATGACACTGCCAGTATTTTTTTGTTGTTTAAATATGCCTACACGGGGAAAAAAAATGTCAGGATCAGCCCAATGTAAATGATGATGAAAAACATGTCACCATGACATAAAAAGTGCCGACTTGTGCCCAAAAGGCTGTTGAATGATAATGCCACTGCTACATACAGATCCTGCATCTTGCTTAAAAAGAAAAAGAATGGTGAATACATAATAAATCTCAAATGCTCGTTATTTATATGTGGCACACAGAAGACAACGCATGTCGAAATGAAGACCGAGGAGTACGACGTCCTCGTCAGGATACCCATGACTCGTGGGGACGGGGCTGGACTCTTGGTACGTGATAAGCAGGACTGATTTCATTTTGTGCTGCCGTCGGAATCTGCCATTGGTTGCCAAAATTTCTCAGGAGCGCTCGTAGAACCGATCCAGGAGGGCAATCATCTACCTTGTCAGACAAAATCAATCGGAAAAAAGCATGAAAGCCAAAGGCCTGCCGGGTTCTTGGTTTTCATTTGAGTCTTGGAGCACCACAAGCCTGTACCAATGCTATTTCTTAGGTCTGGTGATCTGGGCGTAGAGAGGTTCTGCTTCCTGAGGATAACAAAAACAAAATGAGCGGCATTGTCCCCAGACACGTTCAGAGCATTTTCAGAACATCTGCTTGAGAACAGCAATACCTCTTGAGGTCAGACCCAAAGGACACGTTTGCTCGGGGCTGCTTTGAATGCTCCCCGTGTGAATTGGGAAGGAAATGTGACAGCAGAAAACAAATGTTTATAATCAATCCCCTTCTCCAGCACTGGCTGTGCACAGATCCTCAGGAGGTATTGCCGGGCATAGGCATATGAAGAAATGAAATGATATTTATATGACGGCAGGTTTTGGAGTTTACAGGCCAGAAATGCAGCTGGCACACGGTGCTGATGCTCAGCCCTGGCTGCGCTCCCATCCCGGCAGCGCAGGAGCAGAATGAAGCCGGGCGCCTCCACGAGCCTCATCAAAAACCTGTCTGCAAACACAAACCGCTGCGGAGAGCTGAAATAATGAAGCTGCGATGGGACTTAAAATAACAATATTTTCCTACCGATGTGGCATGAGCTTGCCTATGAAAAATGAGGAAATGTAGCTGTGTGCAGCTGGATCAGGAGGCGGGATAATGGCGAGTATAGGCATTATGAATGGGAGGAACACATGCCGACTTGCTAACAGGTATTTTATTGTGAATTTGTTCAAGATGGGGTGGAAAAGAAGCTGCTGGGGTTTCAGCAGAGGCTCTGTGTTTTCTTAATACTATATTCATCATGGCTGCAATGTGAAGCAAACCATCCATGCAGCCTCTTCTACTTCATTTCCAGAAAGTAATTTATTAAACTGAGAATGACATCTGAAAGAAGAACAGGACAGGCAGAAAGGCTAATTAACGCCATACTGCATTAACTCTCCACGGCGTGATAAACACTCAAATACCACGGCACGACGTTGAATTTAACCAAGTTCGAAGGAAACTCATGTTACAGCAGGATCAGCAAAAGCTGACTTTAAGTAAGAAAGCGTGAGGGTCGGCCACGGAGGAGCACACCAGCATCTGACAGGAGGTGGCACTGGGTTTTAATCACTTCAAACTAGCCTTTTAATCAAGGATGCTGCTGCTGATCAGCAAAGCAGCCTAAAGCTGTATCCACAGGTTGGTGTTTACTCTGGGCGTCTCTGGGGTGACTCTCCAAAACATGGCCTGTGTTTGCCAGGGAAGCTTTTCTCCCTCTCTCTTATTCCTCAAAATGAGTCTATTTCTGCGCTTTGCAAAGACTTTATTTCCTCACCTCCTACCTACCCGAAGCCCTGAGCACACTGCAAAGGCATTAAGAGAGGATGAGCAGAATCCCCTCTGAACGATTAAATAAAAGCTCTTGAAATTATCTGCAGAAAGAAGCAAATACATTTTGTGACCATGAAAACACAAAGGTAACCAGAAGAGATGCCTGAGAGTAACTACCCGTGTTTCATACCCTGTGTGCTAAGGCTACCTGTGCCAGTCCCCATGTACAGCAGATGTGCAACTGGCAGCCTGGTCTATCACCCCCAGCCCAGGAGAAATCCGTGCTCATTAATGGGGCAGGCTGAGTCCCAGCAGGCTGCTCCTCAGGCATCTGCTGAACCTGCTGGGACTGCAGAAAGGAGCAAAAAGGAACAGGGAGAAGAAAAGAGGAGGGCGGAAGGAGAGAGACGACCCCTTTGGAACAAAAGATACTCGTTTTGCAAATGCTCTAGGGAAAAAAGAAAATATCACGTGTGCTTGTTAGAGCAGTCCTCAAATATCTTTAAGATATGCAGATGCACTTAACAGTAACAGGTGCCCTAAGGTGTCCCAGAACTTGAATTTTGTAGAAGAGATGCAGCCCCAACGCCAGGAGAAATTCATCTACTCATCAGACATTTCCACAACTCATCTGGCAGACCTGGGAATTCGAAATTTCTTACTCCTATCCAATATTTATTCTGAGTATATGTCTCATGTGGCCAAGGCCTGCCACTTCATACTGATTTGGGAACTTTTCCTTCTAGATCAGAGCATTTTGAAATTAAGTTGTTCTTCCCTTTAGCAGATTTTTCCTTTCAGATGGCTAGAGGAGACACTAATTGCCATACTTGCATGAGAGCTCCTCAGCCAGAACACTTCCCTTCTTTCTTGGGTCACTGACTGGAACTTGTTAACTAATATTATTTTGACATAATTCAAACCACGCATCTTGACTGTGGCCTGACACTGAAAATGCCACCTGCAAAGAACAGATAATGATACTTGAGAGAGCAGAAAGGGACAGAAAAGAAGCGAAAGGGGAGTCAAGTGTTCTGGGCTGCACAGACCCCTTCACAAATCCAGGCAGCAGGGCTCTTGACAGCGTGGTCAGGAGGGGCTTGGAAGCAGAAACAACCTCCCTTCTTTCTGCATATTCCACTCAAAAGCCACTGGAAGTGTCATTAAAAGACAAGCAAATCTAATTGTTCTCACAGCACCAAAATCATCCCACCCAGATTTTCTGCTCCTACTTCTACCACTCTTGTTGGGAACAGATCCTGATGGAAAGAAGTTGAAGAATGGGTCTTTGCCAGGAAAAGAAAAAAAAAAAAGGAACAAATGAAACAGCGTACAAAAGTTCCCCTTCACATGAACGCCCTGGATCTTGGTGCTTTCTGTTTTTTATGACTGTCCCAGAAGCACTTCTAATGTGCTTGCATTAGCCTAGAGTGAATAACCAAGAACACAAATAGGGAACATCACTATCTTCTCCTAAATTTTACTTGAAGGATCCTCTCATCTTTTGGGGTATGCAGCTCCTCTTATATGCTTGAAAAGTAAACGTTTTCCGATTTGTGTAGAACCTACTACGAACTTAGTGTTTGGCCACATCCTCATACCCCCACCTACCAATGTGGTTATCTACACTGCAGACTGCTTCCAAATAAAATGTACTACAGAATGGGTATCTGACAAAAGTGACAGGTTGCAGCAGGGGACCAAAAACTTTTAAATATATCTACCTTAAGTAAGGCATCTAAATATTTAGGAAGCTGCAAGTATATTGTGCAAGTGTTCTGAGCTCTGCTCATTGCAAAAACTGCGAAAGAGATTTTTTTGCCCTAGTAAGCTCCACAGATCTATTTCAAAGCCACTTCATGCTTAAAATTTCTTGTTTACTTTGCCCATTTTAAGAAATGTCTTCTGTAACACCTGACACGGTTGCAAACAGTTCACATTATGAGCACTGTACACTCCTGCCTGAGACAACGAGGTTGCTAGTGGTTTTGAATAGCGTTATGTAAATACTCTACGTGAATTTGCAACCAATTTAACGTATTTATATCTGCTCCCCAACTGAGCTAGTCATTGCAAAACATTTCTGGAAGAATCGGCGTCCAGTTGGGCTTGTTTGGATGAGATCACTCACAAAACAGCACAGACAGGACTTGGTTAGGAAGACACTATTTTTGCTTTGGCAGTCCTTTCATCATCGATTCAGGGCACCCTGCTATGCACAAAGCTACAGACAAGATGTACTGAATTATAGAGGTGAGGCCCTCATAGATTTGTTTGCCCTTTACAATAGATTCTCAGCACAGGGTTTACTCCTGGCTGACTGATCAGAAAGGGCAGGCTCAAATGATAGAGTTTCATGAAATAAGTGCGCTGGAACAGCAGCCAAAACGAAAATCTTGTGCTGAGGATGCAAGGGAAGGGAAATGGGAGTGCAATGCATCTTCTCTATTGCATGCTGATTCAATGAAATAGGACATAAAATCGGCAAGCAGTATTCAAAGTAAAATCTTCAGTGATAATTCCCCTTCGTTCATTAACAGCCAGTGGCTTATCTCTTATAATTTTCATTACAGCCAGCTTCTATTAGCTGCATAAATATGCCAACTGTCTAGTTAGGGATTATGACTGGAAAGCTCCTCTATTCTTTTAGCTAATCTACCAAGAAGTATTTCCTAGTCTCAAATAGGGAGTCTCAAAAAAATTTAATTATCAATATTTTAGAAGTTTTGTCAGTTTAGTACGAAGGTGGATGCTACACAGCCGTATACTGAAAAACAAAACATAATGAAAACTATGTAGAAAGATCAACTCTGCTCTGCCTTTGTCCTTTGGCAGAACAATGAACTCCAAACAGAGCTACCCAAAGAGGATCCATCCACCTGCACTGTCCTTCTATGTATCTGACTGTTCCCCTTAATAATTTTTGAACCCCTTTATCAATTCGAAGCCTCCAAGCTCCTAAATTACTGCAAGCGTCATGAAAATCAGGCGTTGTGCAGACTATGGAGAACGTTGAACGTCCTCACTGCAGAGGAAGCTGTGGGAGCTCAGCCCTGAACCGCCGGCCATTAAGCAAGTATGTATCTCTAAGTGAGCTACATAACAGCTCCCAAAAATAAGAAGTGGAAGGGCATCTGGCTTCTTCAGGAGGGCTTGGAGGTACTGAGAGAGGTGAGACACCTTTGTATAAGCTCATCTAGTTAAAACGGGGAGTTCAAAGGGAGAAGATGAGATGTCTACAGCAGCAAAAAGGAGAAGACAGTTGTAGGATGCTTTCTGTTCACAAAACAACTGGATTTCACTGGATCTTACCCCTTCAGATTCCCTGGAAAATATGATGACCAAATGTGCATGAGAACAGGGCCTGATATGACAACTTCAGCAATGAAGCAAACACCTCTGCCAGATTTATAATTCTCCTCAGTGGTGTCTCTTCAGTTTGAGAATGAAAGACCTAGGACTTACTGTAAGACTAGGCCACCCATAATCATCATGACACTTCTCTCCAGACTCTACATGCAGTTCCTACTGAGCTAGACGAACGGGATAACAGGTCCTGCAAATATGGGCGCATATTTTGAGTCCATTCAGATCCCCAGGGCAACACAAAGTGGATGCAAAAAGTAACAGCAGAATCAGCTTCACGCGCTTTCCTGAGGCTCACTAAGTTGGCAGATAAAACACTACCTTGTCCTTAAATTGCTATTTTCTGTCAAATTCCTAGTAACAGCTGAGATAAAGAGTACCGGTTGTCCATCCTGGGGCTAACGCCTTAAGAACATTTCTCATTAAGCATGGCACATGTTCAAAGATGGAACATGGCACTGGGCCATCAAAGTACCACTGAGAGCTGATAGACAAATATTCAAAGGAACTGTTGCTCTCATGACATTGCTGATAGCATCATGAAGGGTGTGACATATTTTGAGCGCTTATAATTGTCTGCACACATTTCATGGAACAACTAAACAACTTTTTGAGGAATATATGCTCTAGCCACAAATGTTTTGAAGGCTTCCTGAGAATCTCTCATGAACAACTGCCAGTTCAAATCTTGAAGTGGGCAGCGTATCAGTAGAGCTGTATTTGTTCTAGCGTTTTAAATGTTTTTTTTTATTGAAATAATTGTGCCATCAAATAATCCATTATTCTCTTTCTGCATTTTTACCCTGTCGTTAGTTTTCCTTCAATAATCAGTTTGCACGGTCCATGCAGAATCAGACAGCATTTGCAATGCTACATTCCAGTTTTCAGGTCTTATTTATTCTTTCCACAAGCAGCATGTTTTGTTACAAGATGCCAAACAGCATCATCACAGGTCTCCCAAGCACCCTGATATCAGAATGTCAAAGTTCCCTCCTGTCCTTTCTCTTTCTCCTTCTGCCCCAAGACTCCTTTTCACCATAGTGAACCTCCACGCCAGCTGGAGAGACATAAGGATTACACTGTATAAATACAGGTCAGCTGAAGAAAGGAATCTTATTCACCATTCTCCTTCCCTTTCAGGACAACCACTGCTCATGTGGCTTCTTATCTCCTACCATACAGGCACAAAAATGTAACTTATCCATAAAATTTCACATTAACCTACTAAGAACCCACAGCCATTTCTGAAAAGGGAACTTCCAGCAGTGGTTACTGGTAGGATATGGTCTTGAGAGGTTAAGTGGAAAATCACTAAAGCCAAGGAGAAAAGGAGAATTCAAGAAGCTGAAAGAATTACTTCTAATGAGGACATGAAGATTCAGAAGGAACCAAGAAAACAAATTGCTAAGGTACACTGAAAGATTGGAAAAATACCAGGCAGGAGGGAATTCTGGATACAGCAAGAGAGGATAAACAAAGATATTGTACGAGCACTGCTGATTTCATAGAGCTGCTGGGAGCAGACCTACTTGAAGTTTCTGAACACAATACTGTGTCATGCTGCTGAAGGGTCCATTCATTTGAGCTGTATACTCTGCTGTTCTTGGTGTGAAGAACCATGTTCTGGAAGAGCTAAGTAATCGCCATCTAACACACAAAAAAGGCTTTTATGCAGACTGTGATTCCTTTGTACTACATGTTTCTCTCCATTAAGTTTCTCTCAAAACGCTGGGCTCGGTACACAACACAGCAGTAAGTCTTGAATTGATAATTTTCCATGGAGATTAGACTTTCCATTGCTCTGATGATACCATGTTTCAGAATTAGATGGGCTGGTTTTAGCAAGTGGATTTCCTAGGGGCTGCAGCTGTATGGCGCTGCATTGAGGCACCAGGATATTAGTGCTGTAGCTTCAATGCACAGAGACTTTCTTTTTGTACAGATCCTGCTCCTCCCTATGGCTTTTAGGAACTGCTGTAACAGTCATAATAATCAGTAATATTATTTTACAATTCCCATAATACATATCTGAGAATTATATATATTTTATACAAGACTGTACAAAAATTAACAGAAAATACATATGGAGTCAGTGTGCTACACACTACTCTTGAAGCTCCCAGCAACCCCTTTCAGCCAAAAGACTGTATTTCACTAAGAGATATATAGAACCAGAACAAAAAGTCTCTCACTTGACTGCCATACATAGTAATAGGCAGGAAAGGTATTAAATTGTTGTTTCAAGTTCCTGAACTCCTGATAGGGAAAATGTGTGATGCTGATTTACAAAAGATGCTAACTCTCTCTAACAATCAGAAAATTAGAGACTTTACCACTATTCTCCCTTTGATGAATTTCAGAATTATCTTGACTATGGAAAACAGTAATAAACGAATGTGTACAGCTTTGCAGAGGGTATGATCTTGCTAAAGATAATTCCTCTCCCTTCAATTAAGAAAGTTGACTCCTCAAGAAACTATTCATTTTCACTTGAAACCAAATTGTTTAGGCTCAGGGTTGATAAGTCACTCGTAAACACAGTGCAGTGTCTAGACAAAAAGAAAGAAGGTTCTGCCGTTGTTATGGATTTCCTCCAGGAGCTCCGTGCTGAAGCCCAGAAGCAATATTGATCATTGTGTTTGAGTAATACAAAACACAGATGACAGATACTAAAAAGATAATGAAACATATCCTTCAAACTGTAACACTAGAGAGTATTTGAATGGAATAACAATGCTCAGCACTCATAAAACTTTGCAGCCTTACTGTCTCTTTGGTAAAACATATATACTGTATTGAAACAAATCATAGAACAGCCACTAGCAACTACATTTTCTAACGGCTTCTGTAACACAGAAGATGAAAAGATCATCCTTCCCCTCTGTCTCGATTTAAGTGACCTATGCTTGATGAATATTTTTTACAACATCAGTATGTCAATAGTAATATGAATGATAAGTTTCAGATGTTTTTAATTTGCAGTTGGAAATATATACACACGAGTCCATTTTAATAATTCTTTACATGCAAATAATAAATGCGTTTTTTACTCTACTGATTCTCATATTGTTTATGGCTAGAGGTGTTCATATATCATTAGGTAATTTGTATTTACTGTTTGCTATGTCTTTGGATAAGATGTCTTGTTCAATTTAACATGCTAACTCTGAGTAAATGCCAGAAGTACATTTCATTAAATAAATAGAGTTCTGCCTAATACTTTGTCAGTAATGGCTCAGATTTCCTATTTCCTCCTAGAATTCAAACACAACACAAAGTAAGTCTACATTTCTTTAAAGCATGCAGGCAACTGAAACACATTATTTGCATAAGCTGCAACACTGGTGATTGGCAAAAGCCATGCAAACCATGGAGCATGAAGAATACACTGTGGAAAATGGAGAGGAAAAAAAAGGAAAAGATGAAAAGGAAAAATAAACCATGCATCCATGAAAGCAATGGTAGGTACTGGTGGAAGAATATGTGAGCATCTCAAGGTGTAGAGAAAAAAAGGACAGATACCTACCCAAACCTGCGCTATCTAGCTACCGACCTGTGGACTTATAGTATCACCAGTTGGCTCACCAAATGGATCACTGTTGGATGAGGCCTGAGACTCATCAGGCTAGAATACAAGAACATAACACCTTTTTTTCTCAACAGTAGAAAGTGAAAAGTCAACACAAGGTTATTTTCATGCTGTGGGCATAACAAGTACATCCTATCTCATGAAAAACAGAGCGAGACCTCACCACTGATACATCCTCAAAAGCTTTACTGATTTCCTATAGCTGATACAGGTAGGAAAGCACCACCCTGGTACCTGCTGGAGTCCATGCACAAACTGCCACGGACTTCAGAATGTACTGGAGCAGACACACCGGAGCTGCAAAAGGCCCTGAAAGCCAATGAAGCTGCACGAATGAGAAAGAGTCCAAGCTTGTGCCATTTTTTTTTAATCTTTGGGTCCTTTAATGTATAGATGCCCTCTTGTCTTTGGTTCCCTTAGGCGTCATCTGCCTAAGATACCTCAGGTTTTAATTATACTACTTGGATAACATCTCTTGCTTTGGTCCGCTGTGTGTAAGAGAAAATCACACACTGAGGGCCAAAACACTGAGGAATTCACCTAGGGAAGCAACTGGGAGGCAAGAATGTTCAAAACAATCTCAACCATCCGTTGTTTTAACACACAGACTTTCAAGTACATCTTGTTCTGCACTCACAGCGTGTATGTTGTTTTACCTCAAACTCCCTTACCACCAGTAGGCGAATGTTCAAATGCTAAAAAGGACATCACATACAAGTGATATGTATAACCTAATGAACAAAGGTTGTTTCCTTGAATGCAATATTAGTGCATATCAACATAAATGCCATACTGATGTTCTTAACTATTGAAATCCAACCTGCAAGTGAATTCTCTCTGAGATTCTTCCTTAAATACTTCTATACCTCCCAGTTCTACTAGAAGAGTTACTTTTGACACTATCAAACCACGTTTAAGTAATATCTCCCTTTTTTTTCTAGCCAAAAATGCTAATTAAGATTTAGAAACCTTGTTGCTACTCACAGCCTCCTGCTCTTCACTTTTGCTTGGGCTTTCAAACCCCTCTTCAAAGAGGTCATCTGCAGCAGGGTCACTCGTATGAGATGCTGATGATTTTGATGGAGAGCTCTGTCTGGGTGCAGGGGTTGGAGCTAAAGAAAGATTAAAGTAACAGCAACAGAATTTCATATATTTGATTTCATTCAGCAGTTCCCAAATTAGTTCCAGCTGTACCTGGCAGCAGCTCTAGGAACTTGGGAAGTGTCACCAGATTATATTAAGAATATGTGAGCTGCTTGCCCTATGGCAGGTAAGAGAAACAGAAGGTTTCCTTTCGGCCCCTGGTAAATCTCTGTCTCATGAATTCCCCTTGTCAGTGACTTTTGCAATATTCCCCACCTCCATGGATAAGCTTATCCCCACATCTTACAATCCTTCAGTGAATTTCCCCACATGCAATACATCAAGCTAGAAGAACAAATACTCATTCCTTGATTTCTACCAAGTATTTGTAAGGCCATTCATAAGGCTGAGTGTCACACGCATTTTCTGACCAGCCTGCATGTTCCTAGCACAAAAGATATATTACTATCTTAGTAGAAATTAAATTTCAGACTGTAACCATTGAGGCTGTTGATTTCAATGGTCTCTGAAATTCATCTGTACCATTTTTCTTTAAGGCAGGAACACATCTAATAAGCTAGACCATGCATGAAGGTTCTAAGTCCATATCTTTGTTCCAATTTACTGTATGAATAAAAAGACTGAAATGCTGTGAGAAGCAATCACAGTGGAGGAATATTACAGCTGAAAGGGTATGAATACTCACGTGAATTTGTAGATGGTGTTGTGGAAGTCACAGGAGTCAAATTTAACTGAGAGATGTCAAAGTCATCACAATCATCTGCTTCCTGTGCCATCCCAACTTTATTAAAATAACTTGAGAAGGCCTCTGAGGTACAACTGAGGGAAGGCTGATCTGGTTTTCTTGATGGCACTGGTGGAGGCTGAGCCATCTGGAAATCTTTAAACATTTCTTTTCCCATTTTCTGTCTGGGCCTGTCTGTCTGTGGACTTGATCTGTTGGAATCACTCGTGGGTGGAACAGTAGCTATAGGAGCAATGGTACCTTGAAACATGGCTGCTTGTAAAGGCAAAACAGTTTGTGTTGGCATGAAGGCAGTTGGTTGGAACTGACCAGCTACAGATGGCCACGGTTGCTGAGTAGGAGGAAAAATCCCGGGTTGGCCCCATGCAATTGGTTGTCCTCCCTGCATCACCTGAGCGACTGGAGGCTGAGCACCCATGGCCAACTGCTGTTGAACGAGTGGTTGCTGTCCCCAGAACGAGGGCAGAACAGCTCCCATGGCAACATAACCTTCAAACAATAAAAAAAACAGGAAAGAAAGAAAAGAAGGATATTAACATTCATGTCAAGAGTACATGGAATTACTACACAAGAGCTCATAAACACACCGAGTACATCAGTGATGCCAGAGCTTCGGCACACTTGAAAACTCAAAGCCACGGCTGAATTTATGTCACTGGATAAGTACTGGGTAAGTAGCTGGGTGCAAAAAAAAGGTGGGTGGAAGTCAGCAATAACGCTTCACCTCACCCAAGCCTAAAAGCTCTTTTCTTCTTCTCAGCGAGTACCCTCGTGCATCTGGGAACAGGCATGCACGTGGCCCTCCTTGGCATGCCCAAAGCTCAGTTGGGAGCAGTTTGCTCCAAGCATTTACCAGAACCACAGCAGCCCCCCGAGCCGTCTCCTACACTTCCTCGTGGCAGCACAACCCTGGTCCTCACCAGAGCTTTGCAGGCTCCTGCCAGCGCTCCGGCCCGCGTGGCCACCCCGTCACACGCAGCTCGGGGAGCTGGGAAAGCGGGGCCAACCCCAGCCAGCTCCCGCAAACCCCTCTAGCCACACTGCAACTTTCTTGCAAGAGAAGGGTCACCTCTGATGTGACCCTCCATAAACTGCCACAAGTCTGATTTGTGTAGTAATGATATGATGTGAAATTTCTTTTTTGCAAGGAAAAATAAAAAAAACACCCGAACAATCTGTAACTAAGCTGTAGAAGACCTCCATTACAAATTAAACCATGCAATGCCATGCTTTACTGATACAAGTGTTATGCTTTCATATTTAAATTCATGATTTTAACTTACTGCTAATACTTTACAGCATACAGTTGCTCTCCTTCCTTTAATATTGCTGCAGCTTTAAAATCCCTGTTTCTAATCTGTGTGTTTTTCTGAGCCCTTCTGTTTATATACCTCAGACTCTCTCAGAAGGCTAAATGTAAAGTAAATAATAAATAAATTTTAGAAACCAAACTTCAAAAGACTGGTGACAGGGATGGCAACTCAGATACATGCCTCTTCCAACAAATGGATATGATGAACAGTCCTGATGTCCTTTCATCTTGCACACACTGTGACCTCATCCAAGCCCTGAGGATTTTCCTTTGACATTATCCAAACCCTTCACCATCAATGCAAGTGGCTAATCTGAGAGTGCAACACAGCCCATCAGAGACAGAGTTAACAAATTAGGAAGTCACTGTTGAATGATTCAAGACACTCGTCTTTTTCTTGCTGCCTAAATGGATCTGAGACCTGTCCTTGCAGTGCTCTGAGCGTCCCAAGGAGGGATCAGCAGTGAAAATCACCTGTCTTTCCTGTTTGTGCAGAACATTACAGTGTTTTTGAGTTTTGAACACTTTGAGAAACACACCAAAGAATATCAGGACTTGACTAAATGGAATTAATACCTTTGAAAAGCAATCAGGTTCTTCACATTTCATTCTCATGTTACTGAAGACAGCACAGGATATTTGCAGCTACTGCAAAGAATCTGGAGCTCAATGTTTTTTTCTCCCTTGCTACAGCACCTTGTGGACATGTTTTCTAGGCGGCTGAACTGTGGCTGAACTCCCAGTGACATTTTTGGGTTTTGCTTTAGAAAACGTTAGTAAATTCAGTATAATCTATTCACTGCTTGCTAAACTCTTGCCTTGTCTTATCCTACAGTACTGTCTTCCAAATCCTTCCCAGTTCCACTAGACTAAACCCATGTCCTGAACATTGAAATACAAAGCAGAGCTGAGAATTGATCCCCAAGCCTGAATCAAACACTTATTTTCACCTGATTTCTTACCTGAGGGTACGGCAGCAGTGCTGAAAGGTACAGAACCAAACATGTCTGTACTAGCAGGAAGTGACTGGGATGAAGATGGGATAAAGGCATCACCTGGAGTAGCAGGAGTCTGCAATGGAAGACAGCATGAACAACACAATAAAACAACACAACAGCACAATGATGTATCAGCTGCTGCTTCTGCAGCACATACTGTGCTGTCACATCCTCTGTAATTCCAGGTATGGAGAAAGGAAAGAGAAAGAAAAAGAATGGAATGAGGTAGAAGGCAAGATGCAATAGGAAAGAGAATAAGAATGTTCTAGAGACAGAGGACAATAGAAAAAAAGAGAAAAAAATGGCTCTCTGTACCAGAAAAGAAATAAAAATATCATTTGCCTGGATTAGATCACATGTAAAGTACTGCTGTGATTTCTTTCCCCAGAACATATAGACTTGTGATTCTAGGTGCTATGTGACAACACTACAAGCATCAGATTTATACACTGAAAATGATTCTGTTTTTTACTTAATAATGCGGAAAGACTATCGAGAAAATTTCCTCCCTCCTCAAAATGAATCCTTCTCTCCTCTTTACTGTTTTGTCCTTCATCTAACAGTGCTACTGGGACGTGCTTGGTGGAACCAAGCAGATACATAAGGATGTAACTGGATCTTCCTGCACTGCCATGGAGAGACGTGAGCTAAAGGCAGAGCGCAGTAAAGCACCTAACTCCAATAAACACCATGGAAAGAGATTCGCAGTTCAGGTTGCATCTTACGTGACACCTAGCTCTATACCAGAAAAACAAAAATTGAATATATTTTTGCACATCGAGAGGTGGCGATTCCACGCTCATCTTGATTCATTTTTATTTCCTCCTAGCCTAGAACTGCTTTGAAATTCTCTCTACTGGATGGCTGATGACCTGAATTCTAAATATGCTCAATAAACACACTGAAAACAGGACAGCAGATGAAGGCAGGGTTCATTTTCCTGGGTACTTACTGGGGGAGAGGTTACATCAGGAGGAGTGGACATGTCCCCAAAAAGCTCTAGTTGGGTAACAGCCTGTAAAGAGAAGAAATTCTTATGAGGAGAAAAAGAGGCAAGGTAACTAGCAACAACTTAAAAACTAGCAATATTAATCCAGAAAAGGCCATGTAAGATTCAAATGACATGTGTAACGTGGAAGAAGCACGGGTTCAGCTGTGGAATTTTGGTATAGAGATCTCTACCCCAGAAAATTACTAAAGCAAGAAGAAAGCATCCAGAATGGGACTGGTTGTATTACTGCTCTGTCCTTAACATCAGGGAGCACCAAGCATGTATTTATGGTCAGCCCTTTCCCCCCCGTCTCTTTTCTAAATCCCCGTTTCAAAATCTTAAACTCAGTAGCAGACTATGAAATGTGAAATGAGAAAGGATATGGAAGGAAGGGGTGTTAAAATACTGCTTGCTTTCCCCTTCCTCATGAGAAAGGTGTGACCTGGATACATGGACTTGAAGGAGAATGCACAGCTGGGTTATTGTAAGTTTGTAGCTCTACATTTAATTCATGCTGGAAATATTTTCTCAGGGCATCCTTCAGTTTGATCTCGAAATAGGTCACCCATGCAGGTCTGACTCAACTGGACCATAAGGGGAAAAAGCACTTTCATAAGAAGGAACACCTTGAGTGGATACACAATCAAAGCTCCTTCACATGTTCTACAGTTAAATTGCTCTCCTCCACCCACTAGGTCACCTGCCAAACTATTGGGATAAAAATCTTTGCATTTTGACTTTAAATTAGCATTACATTTGAATTATGTTTAACAAACAGTCCAAAAGACCCATCTAAGGATGCCACGCTCAGAGTAGCTCCTATTTCACAGGATCCTTTTCTGTACAGCTTCACTTCCTAAACCCCGGTCTTGCAGCTGTTATTTTAACCAATATTCCTGACCGAGGCCCGGAGCACTTTCAGCACAGGAGCAGTCACTGAACGTGGCCAATCTTTACAATTAGAATCAGCAATACGGATAGGAATAACCAGAGGGGCTGTGCGTGGGCACGTGCAAATCCGGGGGGCGACAGCAAGGCAGCAGCAGAGCCAGGGACGACGTCCCCGCCGGCTCTGTGCTCTCCTCAGCCCTGCTCCGTGTCTGCAAACGGCTCCAGCTCCAGTCCAGGGCCAGGAAAGCACCTTGGAGCTCCTCAGCAAATGCAAAACGCATCCCCCTTCTCTCCTGGGGCGGCTGCCAGCGGAAAGCTGTGATGGGAACTCAAGGAATGCACTTTGTCCTGTTTATGTGTTTTTCCTTTTCTCCTAAGTCATAGCAAATCAGGCCCATCCATACAAGAACAAGGAATGAGATCTGATGCACATTTTAATTCTGTTCATTGCGTCCCCTGTCCAACTTTGCAGCCCTCTCAATTGCACATACAGCTTTGAAATTTGGTTGAGTCTTGAACTGCAAATTTAGCCAACATTTGTTTGGATATTTCCAATACTTGGATAGTAACTGCACTGGCTGATCAGTCTTTATAAATGGAGAGGATAGCCCCATTTCTTTTCCATAGATGACCTTTTAAGAAATAAGACTGTAATTAAAATTATAATAATTTAAAAGACTTATATATTTTTGCCATCTAGCCTGTGTAGCTGTTTACAGAAGCAACATTACAGTCACTCAGACCTTAAATTTATCTAGAAGCTTGGATGATGCTCAGCTTTTTGTCTAACGAGGCACCTAGGGATGAATTATTTCTCATTTCCAGACATGATGCACTGTATTAAATAGATCACATTGCTTTAGTGATAGGACAGTATTTTTTCTTCTTATGGGCCTTATATATCCCTGCAAGTATCCCTGCAAATGGAAGAAGGATGCCCAGAGCCACAGCTCAAGGGAAGAGCACCAGGGTGGATATTCAAGGAAAGGGCACACGTGGTTACATGGACGAAGAGGAAATGCCTCTGAAGTTCATTTTTTAAAATGAAAAAATATCATGCAACATTTCATACCCATTCTGAAAATTGATAGTGAATATACTTTTGAACTCAAAATTGTATGGCATGTATTTGAAAGATGGCAAGTCAAACCTCTATGCTTCAGTAACTCTGTAAAATGGGCATAATAATACTTTTCAAAGTGCTTCAAGGTGATGGATCTCTGGAAATCCCTTGCAGATATAATTCCATTAGAGCTCTGGACATAGATGTGCTTTTATTCACCAGTAACACTTGAGATTCTGGCAAGCAACTAGTTATCGTTTATTTTAGTGATCTCACTGTTACTGCAGAACTGAATTCACCCATTTCTTAATTATTCACATCTGATATTAACCACATTCCACTTAAGTGAATCCCAAACGTTTTCAAATTGCACTAAGCCTACGGCTGATTTCATCTACATTTCCTTAAAATATTTGTAGTGTGATAACCTTACCTGAGTGACTGAAACAAGATTTTCATCAATGTCCAGCAATAAGTTTCCATTCTGCAGCTGTAAAGCATGATTTATGAAATGAAATGAATGATTTATGAAAATGACAGGAATTTCTGCATGTGAAAATGATAACCTTCATAATTATTGACTTCACCACCGAAATGAAAACCCTCTCAATCTTTCAGAAGTAGAAAATCACACAGTGACAATGGTGAATTTGAATGCTGCTGGGATGGAGCAAACACGCATTTGGGCTAAATCTAAGCTTCTGGTATATAAAGCAATGTCAACACTTGCATTGTATCAGTTTACTCTTTTAGGTATTTACGAGTTCAGCACTAAATGCTCGCAGTAAGGTCTAGTCCTATGCACCTTAATGAAACGTTTCAGTGGTTTGGTCAATAAGAAAAAAGGCCTTAACATCCTCAGAGGAAAACAAAAATCATGTATTGGACAAGAAAAGCTCTAAAAGTAAGTATCTGCAGGGAAACACATCCTTCACTGTAACATCACTTCAGGTTATATGTAGATACAGGTGTGTATGAGCACACTATGTTTGCACATCTACATGTATACCTACATATCAAGTTACTACTTAAGTGTCCTCAGGATGTTAAATGTCAGATATCAGGACTATATTTTTTAAGAAACAAGCACAAATGTAACAGCAAACTATAAAAAAAAAAAATCTCAGAGGACTAGCTGAGGAGCTTCATAAAAATTTATCAGCCATTAGCCCAATGGCATCTTAAATGAAAAACCTTAAAAATTCCCAGAAACAGCATAGAATGTTTCCTCCCCCCTTCCCAGTCTCATCACAAAGAGAAAGCAAGAAAGAAGAAATGTGGAAAAAGCCAAGCTGGGAGAAGAAACAGCATTGCACATGAGCAGGAAGGACCCAAACTTCTATCCTTTCAGAGGAGAGAGCTCTCTCAGCGCTTCCCCAGCCCCAGGCATGGGAAAGGTGAAAACCAGCCCATTCCTGAGCTCATATCTGAGAGTTTTAAGACCTTCAGAAACCTTAGCTTTGACCACACACTTATCCCTTTTTGCCTGGGAATCCCTGGCAGGAGCGGTGGCTTCCTGTGAGCAGATCCCACCGGTGCCGCAGCGGGAGCTCGCAGGACACATCCAACACGTGCAGGACACGTCCCCGGGCGCCCGTTCAGCGTTCCTGAGCTCATATCTGACAGTTTTAAGACCTTCAGGAACCTTAGCTTTGACCAGACACTTATCCCTTTTTGCCTGGGAATCCCTGGCAGGAGCGGTGGCAGCTCTCACTAGAGCATCACCTAAAACCACCAGGAGCCTCGAAGGACGCTCCAGCCTCCCGCAGAATCGCTGCCTGCGCGCCCCTCCCCATAGCGGTGTAAAAACCGTCTTTCGTTATTCATTATTCAGGATTCAGAAAATTCCCCTTCAATAAGAAAACACCCTGGCAGCTCAGCCAGCCAGGAACACACAAGGCGCCCGTGCCCGGCTGCGTCGGCGGAGGCGGAGGAAGGAGTATTAATCCTTGTACGCTGCTGGCATTAACGCGGATAATGAAAGCACCACGTCTCCATGCAGGCATGTGAGCCCCACTGTAAATCTTTTAAGCATGAAATATGTAAATCTGGCACCTTAAAGCAGCAGGAAGCTTTTTAAACCTCTCCAGTCAGTAATGAAATTCCTGGTGACACTCTTCATTATTCAGTAAAGTGAAACATTTCCAAGAGTTGGAAAAAATCCCCATGGGAAGTACGGAAGTAACGGTAAGATGCAAGCAAACGGCAGCATGTATATACCTAAACAGACACTAATCCACCTCCACTACAAGTTTTGCATCAGCTGCAAAAGACCACAAGAAAATATCATTTTTCTAACCAATGCAAAAGATTAAGTTTTAAAGGAAAAATCTAAAAGCTGGAAAAATCTAAAATCTATCGCCCTCATGAGACCATAAAGCACCTTTTTCTTTTCACTGCTGGATATAATAAGCCAGCACATTCAGTTCCGATGCTCCGTCTGGTTTTAGCAAGGGATCTAAACTGATTCAAGACTGGAGAAATCCACCTTAGTATTTCTGTATTTTTGCAAGCGAGATGATGAAACAGTATCTCAACAACCATGGGAAGGAAATCTCAGGGACTGCAGAAAAGCTGGTGCTCAAAAAGGATGAAAAACAACACACAGTAATTATCTTGTACCCTGCTATAAAGTTCAGCGAGTTGAAGAGAGTATAGTCTGATAATAAATACAGTAATTAAGCAGCAATTAGTAATTAACCTTTGCGCTGGGCGTTACCCAGCCAGGCCTTCGAGGGCAGCAGGGGGAGTTAACCTTGGCCTCCCGCGTTCCGGGTGAGCGCCGCTGGATAAAAGAAGGACCATCCATCCATGCTGCTCCTCTGCATTTGCATTCCCTTTTCCAACAGGCACCTTCCACGGAAAGTTCAACGACAAGTCAAGTGGTTAATGTGAAAACTAAACATCTGGCGTTATTTTAGTTGAAAATTCAAATATTTTTGTCTGTGAATTTCAAATATTTCTTTTCCTGATGGTTCATTGACTTCAGTGACTAAACCAAAGCTTCTGTTCTTTGTACAACCCGATATGAATTTCAAATATTTCTTTTCCTGATGGCTCACTGACTTCAGTTCAATGGCTAAACCAAAGCTTCTGTTATCTGTACAACCCGATACACAACAAATATTGATATTACTATGAGCTCCACAAGCTCCAGGTAGGTTATTAATTAACTGAAATTCATTAAAAAATGATTAGAACTACAATTACAGAGCAAGCCAGAAGCACGAACAGAATGATGATCAGTCAAACCATATCTAATAGGTTGAAACACACCGAAAATACCCAATAAACACTGCTCTCCCCTAAAACTACTGTTTTACACGGTACATAGACACAAAGATTTGCTCAATCCCTTTCTCCACGGGCCGCCATAAAACTACTCTGGTTGCAAACATGCAGGATTTGATCCAAGATACCTGCATCTGGGCATCAACCACATTCAAACGGTGCAGTTCAAGTGCCCAGAACTCTGCAGGGCCCTGTGTTGAGTTTCTCTTTTCAGTTTCATTGGGTAATCCTTAGTTTTAAATGGTAAGGAGCACTCTTGGGGTAGCTTTTTTAACACGTTTTTTTCTTTGATGGAAACCCAGGTCCTGAATCGAGTAAGATGCATTCAACTATAGTGTAACCTTCAGCTCCATCTCATTCACACACTGCCCTATTTCCTTTGCTTCTTCCCTGGATGTGCTGGTAAGAAACGCGGTTGTTAGTCAATACTGTGCAGCTGAGGTGGCAAGTTTAGCAATAATTGACATAGTAGATAATTGAGAAATGCTTGAGCAAACTGCTTTACTGTTACTCGCCAATTTCCCTTCAACTAAGGGTATCTTCACACAATCAAAGCATATGTGTCCTCGTTGTTTTGTTTTCTCTTTTCATTTGAAAGGAACTTAATTCTGAATTCTCCGTGTGCCTTAGGTATTTACTTTCACAGCAAATGGTAGTTCAAATGTTTCAAGTAGCTGTTTTCTCTGACAGACACCAATCAATGAGACATCCATAAGGTTGACCATGGCACGAGGTCCCTAACAACTTCTTTCTCTCGGCTGATTCTTTCAGAGCAGGAGAAGGAAAGAAAGTCCAAGCGTTGCTGCTTCCTGACAGCTCAGCACCCGAGATGCTTAACGCTGGGGCAGAGGTGCTGGCCCCACAAAGCTTAATAACCTCTAAATATTACGTATTAATAGCGGATTAATTCTAATATCTAACCCTCCAGCTTGTTGGAAATCAGATTCTGAATGCAAATCTATGGCTTTTTGTATGCATCCTTGTTTGCAAAACCCCTTCTAATGCAAGGCCAGTTCCTTCCCAGAGGCACGAACTATTACATTTCCACAAATAAATACTGCTTCTCAAGATTTGCTTTCCCTTCTTAGCAAAATACCTGACATTTCCACAAACACTGTCTGTGCTGAATGTAAATATCATTTCCCTGTAGTAATATGCTTACCAATAAAGAAATGTTAACAAATGGTTGAATGAAAAAAAAAACATACATTTACGGTATCTAAATCGATCTCTGGAGCATAAAATAAGACAAATATAGCTCCAGCTGAAAAATACCACCCCCAGCAACAACCCCCTCCACCACTGGATTATGAAAGAAGTTCTCCATGGCATAAATATGCAACATGAGGAAATTTCACTCTAAGAACCACCTTTCCACCGTAACAACAATTTACTGCACACATCAGGAAAAACATTCAACCATCCTTTGAATAAGATATAGGCAAATGACTCGAATAAGAAGAGCTATAAGAAAGTACAGAGAGATCCCAATGAAAGAAAGGTCTCTGCAGGAGGCAAGTTGAGATAAGCAATGGGGTAGACATCAGAGGCAGAAAGGGAGCAGGCGAAAACAAAGTCAAACAGTGACTGATAACAGTCAATTACATGCATTATACGTCTGCAAAATGAAATACTAGAAATAATGCTGCATCTGTGGAAATGTACAACTGGTGAAGAAATTGAATCACTTTTATGAGAGAAAACTGGTTGGAACTTGGAATTTTGTTGGATTTTGTAATTGTACTCTTTTCAAGATACAACGAGGACAAAGGTTTTGCATTTAAAAACTACATCAAGCTAATATTATCTTGAATTAAGCTAACTGGCGATTTTCTAGATAGCAGGGCCTCATTTTACAACACTTGCCCTTTTAACTTTGGCATTACCCAAAATTTTTGGATAGAGTTTAAGAACCATTGTACAAAACTAAGGGTTCAACTTTAGGAAGGAGACCTTAATAGGAATGTTCTTCAAAACGAAGCAAGCAAGGGGCCATTATAGGAGAAGAGCTGTCCCTTTTTGCTTTAGGGAGCTAAAGCCTCATGGATGGACCGTTTCTTGGACGGACACAAAATTTCCTGGATGGACATGGAGCCCACAGAGATTACCTTGAGGATTATGCTAGAGCCTCCTGTTAGAATCAACCCTTCCTCAGCATTATGTTGCTCTTTCTCTACATAATTCATACATTAATCTTTA